TCAAAGTGGTCTTATTTCTCTTGCCAACACTGATTTAAGCTTGGGCGTGTGGCCTGCTTCTGGCCAATGAGAAATGAAGGGAATTCTACCGGGGGGCTCCTTTTTGATAAGGAATATGAGGGAAGACACAGCCCTTCTCTGGCATCTGGATGTCATCTACTTTTAATAGTGGGGACTGCTGCAGCTGTTTTGGGGCCATGAGGGGCACTACCTTAGAAGGATAAGCCAGGAAGCTAAGATGGCAGAATGGAAGACAAAAAGAACTCAGGTGCTTAAAAACCACAATGAAGTGCTGGATTAGTCAACCTTGGAACAGCCGACCCCACTTCCGATATCTTAAAATGTGAGATAATATAGGTTACTATTATTTACACCACTTTTAGTTGAATTTTCTGATACTGCAGCCAAAAGCACCCTAACTGATACAACCAGTAGTCCCCACCTCCTCACTCTCAAAAGACTCGTTCCTGTAGACCTCCATCCTTACAGTAGATGTGTGTTTGGATTTACAAGCTCACCTCTTAAACTGCAAATATATAGAGGTTAAGACTGTTAGTCACTCTCTCCTTAGGATGAATTACTTTAATCAGATTGTCTTCCTCTCAAGACCAGGCTGTGATCAAGCACAGGGTTGGAAAGGAGAGAGGGACAATAGTGGGCTGTGGGAGAGGAGCATGAGGGCCACAGTACCTGGAATTGGCATGAAAGAAAGTACCAGAAGGCTATGCAGAGAATTAGCTTTGTTTCCCCTCTGTCTCAAGTTTCTGCTGGGCACAGCAGCCCTAATGCCTCCTAGAAACCACTCTTCTCCTGCCAAGCATACCTGAGCACCTTTTCAGAGCTATCGTTTCTAAAATCAAGGTGTCATTTAGGACTGGACTTAGAAAAAAATAATAATTCTTAATTCAAATATAAAATAAAATGAGCTCTCCAGTTGGGTACTTCTTAGTTTTATAGCAGAGAAGGGTGACCAGGTAGGACTTTATCCCCCCAGAGACCAAGCGCAGTGAGAAGGCAGTGCCGCTCCGTTCTGCTGCCCATGCTGACGGTCCACGGAGCTGGTGACCTCGAGCCTCCTTCCAGCATCTCTGCTGAAGCTGTGAGTGCAGGCCTCGGGTCTGCCTTGCAATCCTAGCCCTGCCTCAGCCACTGCGAAGGAGCCACTTTGTACTCTGCACACGGCCACTAGGCTGTACCTCTCAAGAAAAGCATTTGATGCTTATCTCAGGGAGGAAGATGCCAAACCTTTATTACTGTTATTATTGCTATTGACCTTACGGCCACCGTTACTTAGGGAGCAGGAAGGCTCTGAGCAGAGAAAAGGTATCAGCTGTCCTCGCAGCCCAGGTGGGTCCTGATGGCACTGCTGGGAAGAGGCAGGTTCCACCTGATGCAGGAGTGGCTGCTGGCTCTCAGGACACCCAGGAATCCTCCGAGATTCCCAGTTCACTCCGTTGAGTGGCTGTTCTACAGCCACTGACAGCTGTTCCAGAAAACTCAGGTCTCCAGGTAGATGCCCAGTACCCTCCAGCAACCCTGCTCCCTACTCCTGGTCAGCTCCCTTTTCCACTGCACCCAGCAACTATTCCAAACCTTCACCCCCCTCCAGCCTCCAGTGCCACCTCCTACCCCCTCACTCTCAGCAGATGGTTTTGCCTCCTACTGCAGAGAAAAAATAGAGGCTATCAGGCTGGTACAACTCCGCTGCCCACTTTCCCTCCGCCGTCCCCCTCTGCCCCACACAGTCATCTGCACTCAGCCTTACCACCTTCCTCTGGTCTCAAAGCAAAGGCTGACCAAAGGCTAATGTTTCCACCTGTGTCCCTGGAGCCCAATCCCTCCAGTCTCCCCCTGGACCAGATCTATCAGTTACTTCTCTCTCCTGAGTCTCCAACGCCCCTGCTCTGCTGCCATCAGTTACAGCCTGCTAGAGTCCCCACCTCTCATCCTGCTCTGCTCTAACCACTACCTTCACTTTCCCCGACCATCAATGGTAAACATGAAAACAGTATTCTACGTGCATTGTCTCTGCTCCACAGGGCCTCAATTCTCTTTCGCCGCACTCTCCTCACTCTTCCCAAGAACTCTCAATCGCCAAATCCAAAATCCCCTCTTCAGAGCTTTACTGATTTTATCTCCCACTTGACAACATTGAGTAATTCTGGCAGACTATATTTTGCAAAATGGCTGCAACAATATCTCCCATTCTAATACTCTTCTAGAGCCAGGCCACTCCCATCAAGAGGTAGTCTAGTTCCCCTTCCCACCCCCCTTAAACTAAGAGGGCCTCTTGCTTTCACCAAGAGAGTGAGAAGGAAGTCATGCGATATGCCTGCCAAGGCCAGGTCATGAAACTGTGAAGTGCTTTCAGCCTTATCCTCTGGGGACACTCGCTCTTAGAACCTGGCCACCATGTTGTGAGGAAGCCCAAACGGCCATGGAGAGGCCTACACGGAGAGGATCTAAGGTCCTGGCCCACAGCCTCGGTTGAGCTCCCAGCCAACAGCCAACACCAACTTGCCAGCCATGTGAGTGAGCCACCCCAGCTGGCAACACATAAACTAGAGATGAGTCTCTCTACCAATTCCTGCCAGATTGCAGATTCATGAGCAAAACACGTGACTGTTGTTTTAAGCCACTACGTTTTGAGGTGGTTCCTTATGCAGCTCTAGATAACCGACAGTGCTCTCTTCTTGAAATTGTCTTCAGTGGATGTGGCAGCATTGCTCCATCCTGGCTCTCCTCCATTCTCGATGACCATGCTTTCTTAGTTCCCTCAGGAACTGGTCCTCCTGGATGCACTCCTCTCCTCAAGCAATGATGTTCCTCACAGATCTTTCCTTGCCCTTTCCTTTTTTTTTTTTTTTTACTCTACATACCTTTTCTAAGTGATCTCAACTACTCTCCCAGATTCAGCTCCCGTGAGTCTCCTCACTGTATTTCCAGCCTGAACTGCAGACCAACAGAGAGGTCCCATCCAAAACCCCTGACAGCAACATCTTACCCCACATGGTGGCTCCATCATCCATTTCACTTCACTCTGAGATCCATCCCAACCCCCTTACTCTCATAAGAAACTACATTTCCCAGGGTTCCTTGCCAACTTGCTTCCAGCTAGATTTGATGGAATACTGGGGGACAGGATAAGGTGAAAATCCACTGCCTCAAACAGCATATGTGGCTCCAACTCCCAGGTGACAGGCTCTTCGTCTGTGATCCACCTCCCATCGGGCCAGCTTACCACAGTCCCAGCTCCTGGACTCCAGAGAATCACCCCTTCTCTTTGTCCCTCCATCTTGAGGGTGGCAGTGGCTTCCTGCTGTTGGTAACTGGTCTCACCATCCCATTTGCCTTCTCAGCAATTCCATCCCCTTTGAGGCCCATTTGCTGTTTTAAATTCCCTCTGTTTGAAATCTATAGTGTGATTTCTTTTTCCCCAACTGGATCCTGACTGATACACATGGTGAAAAGCCCCCAAATTTAACCATTTAAGTCAGAAACCTGAGATTTGTTTTAGAATCCTCCTTCTGATTCATACCAGTATTTGCCCCTATTCACATAAAGCCTGTCACAAAGTCCCAACAATTCCACCCTTGAACCCATCCCTCTCCTCCACCCCCATTACACGGTCTTGGTTCACATCATTATTTCTCTCTCAGACCAGTGCAGTAGCCTCCCAATTAGTCCTCCTGGCTACAGTCCTTCTGCCTTGCAATACATCCTCCAGACTGCCAACAGATTTTTACTTCTAATGCACATCTGATCATGACATTCCCGATTAAAATTCTTAAGTGGTTTCCCACTGTCTACAAGAGAAAATCAAATCTGCTCAGATCCATAGTAAATACATATTTACTATGTAGACCATTCTACACCTTAGCCTGGACTACAAGGCCCTCTGTGTTCTGTCCTGCCTACCTGCCTAGCCTCATCTGCAACCACTCCCAGCTCATACTCTCTGCACAGCAGAAGCTCTCCAAGCACACCCTGTTTCTCTAAGACTCAGGGCCTTCACACAGGCTTGCCTGTCCTTCCGCTGCCCAGCCATCTCATGGATTCCTGGGTGAAGCCCCCATGATGCCTCCATCAGTCCAGGCACAGTGCTCCATGGCACTTTGCAAACACCCCTTTGACAGAGCTCACATGCCCACACTGTGGCTGTTTGTGTACACACCTGTCTGCTCCACTAAATGGGGAGCTCCCGAGGACGAAGATGGGGCTCACCCACTCTCGTGCACCCAGCACCCACTTAGTGCATGGTGCAAAAGAGACCCTCGACATGCGTGTTAAGTTAGTCAAAGGGAGTTGAAAGAATAAACTCCGAGTCCAGAGTGAGGAAAGGGAAAGAGCAAAGGAAGGAGAGGGACATCTGGCAGGTTAAATGGATTGCTGGCCTCCCACGGGGGTGCTGGCTACCGCCCAAGCAGTGGCCGGCTCACCCTTTCTCCCTTGCTCCGGCACGAAGCTAGAAAAGTCCAGAGGCACAGTCTCCACCAGAGCTTTCCCAGGGCCATTTTTAAGCATGCAAGTTTGTTCATTCAAAACAAATATCAGATAATCAAACACACAAGCTGCATAAATATTTCTATGTGATCTGCTTGTCATTTTTATATCCCTTGGTTGACCACATGCTCCCTTTTGTTAGAATTTAACAAATTAAGATGCAACTTTCTCTACCCTCAAGGAAATCACCTTTGGTTCATCTCATTTCTACAACATCCCCCAGAGGTCCCCTTGGCCCTGAGCTGCTCAGCATGTTCTGAGACCATCCATGGATAGTCACCAAGAACAAATCAAGAACTGACCAACTTAGCCATGGTCCCATAGTCACAACCTTGTCATGTCACCTCCTTTGTCGTGGTCTCAAGCTCTCCTCTCCTACTCTGCTGCTCAAAGGGCCACACTCCACCCACCAGCCTTGAATCAGTTTCACTGGGGCTGCCTGGATCCAGGGAAATACAGAATGAGGATGAAGGAAGGAGAAAGAGGAAGGCTCTCACCTCCATCAGGAGAATGTCCTTTGAGCTCTGAGCCTGCACCTTTGGGTGCTGGACCTTCACGGCGACCGTCCGCCCATCATGCAGCACTGCCTTGTGGACCTGGGCCAGGGAGGCAGCCCCCAGAGGGGTGTCGTCAAAGCTCACAAACAAATCATGGATCTGTCAAGAGTGGAGAGAGGGCAGAGCAATGAAGATGATTCACTTCAGTGAGAGGGGCCAGGAGGATGGGTCAGAGCCAGTGCTGCCCGACGCCCCCACACAGATTTTCTGCTCTATTAGTTGTATACCAACCCAGTGCCTTGCTGGGTCCTTTGCCACCATGGAGATTCACACCAGGTATATGGAGGGAGTGAGACAGAAAACACGCATGGAGGATGTGTCCTCATACGTGTGCATGGATGCCCTGAGCACCTCCACTTAAGGCCAAAGAAGTGCTGTCTAGAATGTTCAGAACTGTGCATCATCTACCCATTTAATTCTCTACCATTGTGCCTCTGAGGCTCTCACATATGGGTATAATCAAAAGTTAACAGAACCTGGGCCCAGGGTAGCCCAAGACAGGGATCCGAAGGACGATGTTCCAACCCCGCCAACCTGGAGAGCTCAAGGAACTCCAGGCTGGAGGCTCCAAACCCAACAACCACCTTTTGTTCCTGCCTGAACAGCAGCCTCAACAGGGGTCCCCAAGTCCACTCTCAGCCTGGTCATCTGGCAGAGATCCCGGGGCTGCAAGCCCGAGCCTTGCTTTTGGTCCTCACCTGCAATGCCGCCCCAAGGTAGCCTGGCAGCCCCCTGCCCTTTCTGTGCCTCACTTTCTCTCTCTGTGAAATGGAATGTAAAGCCCTTCCTCTTCCGTCTTCTCTTCCCTTCTTCCTTCCCTGCTTCCATCTTAGAAATGTCACAGCAATTTTCCTGAAGGAAAAAGTCTTTCTGACTTGAGTGGTCACACTTACATGGTCCAGTATACATATCCACCAGACGGGAAGGAGGCCCCCAAAAGCCTTTCACAAGATTGTGTAACGCTGAAATTCTCTTTCCCCTCTCTGCCATTTCTTGAGTCCCTGTATAGCCTCACAATTCTGGAAAGTCCAGACATTCACATATGCACAAATATTTATATATGTATAGTCACGTGCCTCCTCCCCCCTCACATCCCCCCAGACTCTCAGGTGAGGCCTATTCAGTCTGTGCCCCCTGCCTCCCTTTGTCCCCACTCCTGCAGCAGCCACTCTGTCCTGCCCCTCAGCCCGTCCTCTCCTTGGACTTCAGAAGTCACAGGACCCACGGGCACCATCCCATCCCCCGGTTTGCTAGGCTGCACCATCACTTTGCTAATCTCATCTCATAAATCACTCCCTCCAGCCCTGTCATCATTTTTGTAGCTTTCACTAAACTCCATCCCATTTATCAACATCCTGCGGGGGCCAAAGGTCCAGGCAACATGGAGGGGCCTACCCTTCTCTGTCACCAGAGATGGGTACGGATTGGCTTCCCTGGCCCCCTTCTTCCTCACTGGGTTTTTATTTGTACCCCTCCCAGTGCCTACTTCCCCCCTTCTTCCCCAACCATGCACTTGTCTTTTTTTCCCTCCCTTGGGAGTTCTAGGCTCCCGGAGGGCCAGATTATTCCCACGACATCCACCCTGAATCACCCTGGGACTCTCCGCACAAGAGCCCTTTATCCTGGACCTGGGCTTGGATTAGGAGAACACAAGGACCACCATCCCTATAAACCCCGTCAGAACATCCGCTCCAAGGTGGGCAGGGATTTTTGTCTGTTTCGTTTGCTGAATTCTCTGCACTTAGAACAGGACTGAGGGCCAGCCCCGAGGCTTAGAGGTTAAGTGCGCGCACTCCGCTGCTGACAGCCCGGGTTCGGCTCCCGGGCACGCACCGACGCACCGCTTCTCTGGACATGCTGAGGCCGTGTCCCACATACAGCAACTAGATGGATGTGCAGCTATGACATACAACTATCTACTGGGGCTTTGGGGGAAAAAATAAATTAAAAAAAAAAAAAAAAGAACAGGACTGAAACTATTAAGTGCCAAACAAATATTTATTGAAGGACTGAACCCACTATTCCCTCCACTGGAGAATTGAATCAACTCTCTCTTCCCTTTGAAATGGCTGGACCTTCCTGCTCTCACACTCCTAGTAATCCAAAGGCCTCAAATATAAAAGCATGTGTCATGTGTGGGACTCACCTAGTTGGACTCCACCTGTAACTCCAAGATGGGTGTGAGACCCCGGCCTGGCCAATCAGAATCCTGAATACCCCAGGCCACACTGATTGGTTCAGAGATGGACACACGACCCAACAGGTCCAATCAGACTCAATTGTTTTACTTTTGTTTGAACTGTAGGAGAGGGAATTCTTTCTTTCTGCTGAATTTGAAGCTAAAAATTGAGCTCGCAGCCTGGAGCTACCAGGGGTCACACAGTAGCAACAAAGAGGAAAGCAAAGCCAAGCGACAGAGAGAGTGAATCCTGGTCACAATGGTTGAGCCCCTTGATGTAGGCATGCCTGAATGCGCACCCTATAATTCCTTTTTTTTGCTTAAGTCGGTTTGAGTTGTTTTCTTCCACACACAACTGAAGAGGCTCTGAGTTGTGTTCTCAAGCCCCAGTTGGAATAGATAAAAGAAACATAGGCATGGTGCCCAGCACCCCCAGGAGGCTCAGTAAGTGTGAGTTCCATCCCCTCCCCACCCTCGTGCTGGGACAGGGATCCAGGCATAAAAGGGAGGTAGAGCTTCGGCAACATTCTTGGCCATTAACATGATGAGGTCAACAGCACCTTCCTCTGGAAACCCTCTGGTAGTTCCTGAAGGAGCAGCAAGAAGAATGTGTTCTGGAGCAGAGCTATGAACTCAGACCCTCACCTCCCAGGCAGCTAGCATGGCCCAATCCTCCCGCTGCAAACGGACGTGGAGGTCATCTGACCTCACTTCGCACCCCAAGCCTCCGCCCGGCTCCCTGGGAACACTTGCTCATTCTCTGAGAAGGACAACCAGTCTTCAAATCAGTGTCACTGCAGGGACGTTGCAGAGTCATTGCAACCAAACAGTGATGTGGCATCGCTAGGGCTGTGTGACGAGAATAGCTGCCAGGAGCGCTCCAGGGGGAGGTGCAGGAAGGAAAGGGCCGAGGCGGCAATATCCTAATCTGCAGGGTAAGAGGAAGCCTGGTCCGCCAAATCCCCAGGGGAATGGGAAGGGAATCTCCCATAATTCCCTGCTCCTACCAGGAGATGGAGGAGGCCCCAAGATACCACCCAAGCCCAGCTGCCAACTCAGCACCCTGAACAAAGCCCAGCTGCAAGGACTTCTCCAAATCCCCAATTTGACCAGTGGAAGCAAAGAGAGGCATGGAAAATGATGCACCACTCACTCTGCACAGGGAACCTGTTGGGCAGATACCCACCCACCCCCACCCCACCCTCGGGGCCCACGACCCCCTCAGTGCCCCTGCAGCAGCATCCTTTCCATCTCTACCGGGGAGCAAGTCATACACCCACACCCTCCTGTGCTTACACACACACGCACACACACAATAACTGATTGCTAGTGAATGTTCCTAGCTGGCTTATAAAAAAGGTAATTAAAGATTGGTGCTGCAGCCTGTAATTAAATATGAATAAAGTATCTCTAAATGGAACCTTGATTCAAAGTGTTCAGTGGAAGTACTTTATGCTGATAGATAGTAAGGAAAAACAGACCCTGTCCCAAAAGCAGAATTATACCCCCCACGCAGCTGAAACAAACGCAGCCCCCCCCCCAATCAGGCCTCGTTCCCCAGCCCTTTCACAAAAAACCATTAGCAGAAATAAACTGGAGCATTTGCAGCAATTAGAGTCAAGCAGGGCCCTCAGCTGCCTCCAGCCGCTCCCAGAAACCTCCCCTTCGAAGGCTTTCTTTTCCCCGTTCCTTTTTTTTCCTCTGGGTCTGGCGGCAAAATCAATTAAGTAAAACAACTGCATTTTAAAATGACTAGTTGTGTGCTTTTTAATTACTGTCGGCCTATGATTCAAATATATCGATGTCCCTGTCTGAAAAGGAAAAAATAATCAGGAAAAAATTTTCTCTAGCTTTGTATGGTCTGGGTTTTTTAGGGGGTGTGTGTGTATAAGGGGTGGGGTGGGAATGTTTGTTTTTTTATGAGCAGAAAAACCTGAGAAGGGCAAGAAGAAATGTGTCATCCTGTAGAGTCTTGGCAGACCAGGGGCTCAGATGAGACTTCAGCAGGTCTATACGGGATGATGGATGCTAACTAAACTTATGGTAATCATTTCACAATACATGTAAGTCAAATCATGATGCTGTACACATCAAACTTACACAGTGATGTCTGTCAATGAGATCTCAATAAAACTGGAGGGAAAAAAAAAGACTTCAGCAGGCTGGCGTCAGCTGGGGTCCAGGAATCCAAAGACCACATGATATTATACCCCAGCACGGGGCAGAGTGAGGGACTCTCCAGAACATCAGCCGTGAGGATTCCCACGAGGCCAGGTTACTGGTCAATGTTTCCGAAATGCCACATTGAGCAGCCACGCGTTGGCCACGGCCAGGGTCCTCATCCGGCCCAAAATAAGGTGAGAAAGTCAGGATCTTCCGGAGAAGCCACACTATGACTCCTGGGGGAGTTTCACTTGAGTATCTCAGCCAGCCCCACCCAAGCCTGCAGACCAGCCAGCCTCAGGCCCCTCGTGGGGACTGGCTCACCAGTCACAAGACGGGAAATGTCCCAGATTTTCCAAGATGGCCCAATTTGAAATATTCCATCCTGTTGTCCCCATGCTCATTCACATCAGACCTATTCTGGGTTCAGAAGCTACATCACCTTAAGATAATGCTAACAAACCGAACAAACCCCAAACTGGCCGGCTCCAGATGACGACAGGACCTGCTTCAAAGCAGGCAAGTCCAGGCCTTGATGCCAAGTCCAGGCAGTTCCCACCTGGGAGCCAGAGAGACTGTCCAGGGTACCTGGGGCAGGTTACCATGGCATCAACAGCAAACAGCATCTGGCTCTGGCTCTCGAGGTCTCAAGATGGCCCACCCCATGCCTGGCTGGGTGCCAGCAGCCATCTACTACAGCCTGATGGGGAGAGGGACAAGCCCCCTGCTAACAGAGTAGCTGGAGTAAACCTTCCCC